TCAATCTGAGATGTAACATTCCAAAGTGATCAACAAGAGTGATATTTGTTTTTGGGCATCACAGTGCACCTTCATACTGTGTCACAACTTGCTTGCTGAACAATCATTGGGTTCATGCCAGCTCAGTTCAGTTCTGGCTGAAGTTACCTATCGAATTGCCTCCATCCTGTATGCTCCTTATTTGACATTTATTTGCATAATTCCATTGGGAAACACATATATGAAAATACTATCGGAAAGTTGTTTGTGTTTATCACTGCCTCAGTATCTCTTGCGCTGAGAATAACCTGGAGTGAGAAATGCTGGAATGTTGTCATTGTTCTTCATAACATTTCGAATGATTAATTTTATAACTTGTTGTTTGTTAAAGTAAAACAAAACACGTTTATTATGGAAAAATTAATCCAGAGACTTTGTTGATGCTCAATACCCACAAGTATATTTTTTACCTGGTCATCTTTTCACTGGAAATTTTAATACAATGATCAAATTTAAGTATTGATCATTTGGAAAAATTGATAGAAATGATTAACTATGGCAAATTAACACATAAAAAATGAGAAATTAGCAATTAGCAGGGAAGTTAAGACAAGGGAACTTTTCCCTCTAGTGATAATGGAGTCGTGGACTAAGTTTTGTTTCTAGGAAGAGGTAAGGATGCAGGTAAAGCAAGGCTAATAAATCAAAAAATAATTTTGCAGTTTCCACAGTCTAAGTTTTTCTTGGAAGCTGGTGATAAAAAACATCTGGGTAGAAGAGGCACAAGTATCCTTTCTAAAAAAATGTTGGTAAGGTTTTTTGCAGCCCAGGTAGAACAGGTCTTATTTACCTTGTGTTTTCCCCAAATATCTCTTGTCCTGACACCAATCCTCCTAGCCCCAACTTGCTGTTTCTGTCTCTACAGATCTTTTTTCACAAATTTCTAGTGAAATTGGTTCCAGCCCGAAATACTAGTCTTGCCTACTGACGTTGACGTAATTAGTCATTCCCATTGGTTTCCAGCAGAAGAAAATTCAGCACCATTGTAAATCACCACCTGCCTTCTCCTCCATAATTTGGAGCTTTAATAGAATTCTGAACTTATGGCAAAGCATCTGAGTTTAGCAATATTATCTAGCCTCTACAATATTGTTTTACTTGCTCTATTAAAGCACTTAGCAAAAACAAAAACACTTCTACAAGTTCACCTGCAATTCCAGCAGTTTACGAGTTTCTCCAGATGTCAAATTAAAACTTTTCCACCAGTATCAGTGATGCTGCAAATGATTCGTGACTTTTACCTTGCAATGAATTAGGGGAGCAATGGGGATGCTCTGTCCTTGGGATTTGGCCATTTCCGCACTGTTCCAGATTATCCTTTGTGTAATGATCTTGCAGCAGCATGCAATCTGTGAGAAGGTCCATGCCAGAGACAAAATGATGTAGCATTAGGAACATAGAACCAGCTAGCCCAAAACAGCCAGATAATCAATGCTGAAAGTGCAATTCAATAATGTATTGATGTTTACCAATAAAATTGTTTTGTTCTTTTTACCCTTCAGTAACAGTTATAAATATTAGAAATATTGCAAACATGTTTTGCATTTAAAGTCTGGGCTAGTGAATTGTCTCAGCCCTATGTTTTATCCATGATCAAGGTTTGCCAATGTCACTTGGACAGATTCAAAGGGGTGGAGATGCCACACATCCTAGCTTTAAAGGCATGAACAAAGATGTGTTTTTCAAATGAAAAGAAAGGGAGAATAACAATTTTATACATAAAGCAGAAGAATAAATTTGGTTGCACAAACTGCAGAGAGAACCAGAAGTCTTGTGAGGACCCCTACAAGCAATTTTAGATGGGATTTGCTTGGTCCAGGTGTATATCAAGTTTGGATTTTTTTTATGATAAATGGGCAGCCTGTCTTAAACAACCGATGGGACAAGAAGTCTGGAAACAGAATTTGAAAAGATTGATAAAATGGCATTTCATGAATTTCAAAATTTTGTTTCAGGTGGGCGCTGTGTCATTAAAATGATTTGCCCTTGAATCTGACCTCCATTCAATTTACATTTTTAAAAAATGTTACGGGAATGCACATCATTGACTTGCAATATCAGCACACACTCCATGCTGTATATGATACTATTTGTTGTTAATGACCCTGGTCCCAGAAAATTTTAGACCTTAAATGTGCTCATACAAAATAAAGTGCCAGCTGTTAAATGGTACAATTATTGTTGGCACAGTTACAATTGCTTTCCATGTCACTAGTATTTGAGAGCTTTGTTGCTGTACTGATTATAGGGCCTCTCCCTAAAATCATGTGGGTTTCTCTTTATAGCAGCTAAATTGTGTCACAGATATTTTATGCTGTTTCTATATTGTTGACAGATGTCAGCAACGTCAACACAATAGTCAACCTGGTGATGTGCTGCAGGAGATGGCTTTGACACAGAAGAATTAACTTTGAGAATGAATCTTTTACATGAAAATCAGGAATTTTTTACATCATTTTCCTTGGCCAAGTGATATTCAGGGATTAGATACAAGCATTCTACAGTAAAATACTATCATTTTCAACAGCTGACTTTTGGTGAATTTTTTGTAGAAATTTATCATATATTTGAATTAGATTCTTTCTTCTAAAGAATTTAAGTGAATTTTATCTGTGTGTGGTTTCTTCCCACTCTGTAAGATTACTTCTTTTAAACAGTTGATATCTAGCACAACTAGCTGACTTTCTGCTAATTTTTGAAAAATGTCAGCTACTCCAGCCGTACACAAATTAAATGAATCTTTTTCATCTTTTGTTCTCAAACATTTTCTTTGGACTTTTTGGAGTCCATTTTCCTTCGCCAGATTTTGTTGACTCCAAGGGCTGAGTGATATGAATTAAGAGGTTGGGTCAGAGCAATAGTATTAGAGAGTGAAATGCAAAACGTCTAGAAGAGAACAGAATGAAACCAAGAATCCATTTTGCTCAAAAGAAGTGAGTTGTCCGTTTAAATATTGAAATTAGGCTGTATGCTGTCATTTTCATTGGTACTCGATCTTTAACAACAGGTGGCTAGGTTTCTGAAAGTTGAGGAAAGCTATTAGGACAAGATGGTGAAAAATGCTGAATTCAAAAGGCAAGTACTTCATAGAGTGGTTTCTGGGCAAGAGAAGAAGTGCTTTCTCCAGGACCTATCGTCTATACAATAAACCCTGCCCAATTAGGATGCTTTTCCCAACACCACTAGTGAATCTCACCCACTACTGATTTTTCTTTCTCTTCACCAACAAATTCACCCACCCGCTTTCATAGATTTCCCAAATGAAAGGCATCCAAACCTGCCAGACTGCTTATAGGAAGAAAGCCAAAAAATAAAATTTAAAAGGGGCCACAGTTAAGTTATTCAGCACATTCATCAAACATATTCATCTAATTTGACAAAAGCTGAATCACCACCAGCAGCACCTCATCCCCCACTCTTTCGTTTAAATTCACTGTGCACAGAATAGTCTTCCAGACCAAGATGGAAGTACATATTTCAAAGACAAAAAGGAAGAGTATTAGTGACCTGCAAGAGCTACTGAGGGTGTACCAAGGAGCTATTCCATTATATCAGCTAAGACCAAGATGGAAGGTTAGAAAGGAAGATAAAGCTCGACAAACCGGAAAGTTCTTTTAGGGGTTGCCAGACATGGTGAAAAGGAGAATGGATAGATGCTAGATGCGTAGACTCAAGTATTGTGACAAATGTCTAGTGATAAGGCACATGATAGGAAAAAGTTAAGAAATATGAAAATGGGGATGGGTAGGAAATTAGATTAAAACAAATTCGAAAGACAACAGGATGATAAAGACAAGTTTTCAGTCGTCATGAACTGGTAACATAGTAGAGGATTCCTGAACCCTTTTAAAGATAAAGTATACACATATAATACAGTACTGTAGTGTCAGCCCAAATCTACTGACATAATAGTCAAATTCCAAACAAAGCAAGTGTGATTTAATCTTTTGAATGGAATAAGTTTGAACAATGCACAAAAGCAAAGGAATGCAGCAACATTTAAAAAAGGAACATAACGAATAGATAAAATCATCTGAGAAAAAAATGTTTGTTTTGTGCCAGAAGTTTCAGAAGATAAAAGATATAATGCTGAATCTATGCAAGTTGACATTTGGAATCCTGTGTGAATTTTAGGCTGTACACTACAAAATAGAAGCTGAGGAAATATAAAGATTGCAAAATAAAACTGAACTCATTTTCATTGAGAGATTTCATAACATGATTTGTTAGAAGCGTTTAGTACTTTCAGTAGATTAGTTTCCAGTGTTTGAGGAATCCAGAAGAAGCAAACAAAGGATCGAACTATTGTTAGGTTAGAGTACAGGAGAAAGTTTTTGTTTCGGTGTTGAGTCTGTGAATGTACTGCGTGAATTACAGAAACGGAGACCAGACCAACATTCAAAAAAATTTACTTAGGGGTTAGAGGAGAGGTTGCAATGGATAACAGATGTGGGAAAATGATTGTCACGTGTGTGGGTAGGGTGGTGAGGTGTGGTAGAGTGTATGGCGTGTGGGTGAATGTGTGCATGGCATACACGTGAAGGTGTGGTAGTGTGCGGGTGGGAAGGGAAAAAAAAAGAGCAGACAGAGCAAGTACCTGATGATCTGTTTTCAAGACAAGTCAACTTGGGGCACCATATTTGAAAATTGAGAATGTCAAGATGCCCAGCAGAACCAGCTGAAAATATTGAGACAATCTCTGGGGATTTAAAAAAACCAGCAGTTTCTTGTACTTCATATGTTTAATTCCCACTTTGTAAACTCTTTCCACCATCTGATCCCATTCTCCCATTTAATATTCAATAACTCACTGGGAAAAATTGAGTTTTTTGTTCCCTTGTACTTCTCACAAACAAGATTAGACGATGGATACAACCCCATTGTGATGGAAACAAACCAAGTTTCAACTGAGAAATGCACACTGAATCTCAAATGTTGTATCACAAAAAATTTTAGACATCTTAAAATTTAAGAATTCAGTTTTATTAAGCTACTTACTGACATCCATAATGGTATAGATCACATTCAAAAAGCAGTAGTGATGATCACCAAAATTTGAGTCAGTAGTTTTGTTTTTGACTTAAACTCCTTACATTTTCAGAAATAACAGAAGATGGTCTCACAATTCAATTCCACCAATTACTTTTGTATCAAGTATGATCATAGCTTGTGGATTAGCTGTTTCTATCAGAAAATGTTTCATGAAATAAGATCTGGTTGACAAGAGTTGTTCACCAGCAAGGCACAAGTATTTGGACTAATTGTAAGTAACCCTTTATCAATTATTGGTCATCCAAGTCCCAATTGCCTCTTTCAGGAAGTGCAAAGAGGAGAATTTATTTCAGAAAGCTAACTAGGACAATTTAAAAAGCAATATACATACATTTGTTGGCCCAACATACAAATAAATGTCTTGGTTGCTTTATAAATGCCTTTTTTTGTTACATTGTTAAATTAGAGTAAAGGTTGTAATGGTTTTTCATACTTCTATCTGTAGGACAAATAACTAAAAATAAACTCTACATAAATTCATCTGTACAGTTCGTACATATAACCAATAATCTTGACCCATGTCATTCAAATGCCCAAAAAAAATTTGTTCTTTTGGTCCCTATTCTTAGTCTGCAATATTCTTTAGGACCACCATAACAGTTTTAACAGTAGAAAATCATATTGATAGTGATTGTGGTTCTGTTTCACAGAGTGCATGTATTTCTGGCCTATTTTCAATATCAATTAACTGCCAAAGTTGATTAAATGCATGCACATCTACAATAAACTAGATTATACTGAAAACTTTTTCTAGAACCAGAGCCAAAAATGTAAAGCTACTACAATTCACTAGGTGCTACCTTCCATAGTTCTCATGGATACACTTTTTACCACCACAATATGGGACTACCTAAAGAGCAAGTTCAAACCAAAAACTTCCAAGAATGCAACAACATTTCAAATTTGTGTAAATGAGCAAAAAAAAATTGAATTCTAATACTTCACCGAATCAAAATACAGTTGTCAGAAATAGTCCATGAGGTGGTATTCTATACAGCAGAAAACATCGGAAATAGATTTGAATAAACTGTGACCTAAGCTGTATACAGTCAGAACATAGCTTAAAAAAACAAACCTTTTGTAGCAATGTAAATTCAAAGTACCTTAATTTCTGGTATTAACGACAACGGTCCACTCTTTATTGTAATTTTCAATATTACAAAAAGGTTTTTCTTTCCCCTTATTGAGTAGAGTAGACTTTTGTGGATGTTCAAATACTCAGAAGATTTTCAACACTGCCTGAGCTACTACAGTCCTATTCAGTGATGTGTCTGGTCACATTACTCTTTCCCTACCAAGTGCCTACAGATACTTTAAAAGTATACAACTACAAACTATAACTCCTAATTACAAACAAAAGCTTATTTCATTTCAATTTAAATGTATAAAACTTTGGCACTACCTTTCAGGCAATGCGCAATGAAGACTGACAGTACTCTTTCTGCTTTACTAAGCAGTGAGCAAATTGATTAAAAAAATCCCTTTCGAAATGGAGCAGTGTATAGCAGTGTGGTCCCATTCATTGTAAGAGAACAAATGAGGTGATCCCAATAAACCAGTTAGCTTAAAGTATTCATTCTACATTCTGCTAAGCAAAGTATCTCATACAATTAGAAAGGCATGCAGAATTAACAAAGGTGGAAACAGATGTGTTGTGTAATCAGCCATTCCTTAGGTAAGCTGGAGACCCATCTTTCCCCTTCCAAAAGGAATAGTGAAGGCCATAAAAAAATTTCAAAATGTTTTACAATAAACATAGCTACAGTTACACGCATACAAATTAAACACAAAAATGTTCAATGTAGACTACCCTAATTACGTAAAAAATTTACAAGACAAACATAAATACAGCTGTTACAAGTGGCAAATTGTACAGTACTGGTCCATTCAGTATATCTTCCTTTATTTATATGCAGAAGCAGAAAAATTCAAGTCTACTGAATAGATGTCTTCACTCTGCAAAACAAAAATGAGATTTCATTTTAGATCCTGTATTTAGAACAATTCAAAATCCTGCCGGCTGCTCTATAACCAAGTCATAAATTTATTAAAATCCATTATCCTGATAGTGACATCCATACGCTTGGTCTTGACAGAAGTGTCTTCAAGAGTAATCTCAAACTAGGAACTAGTTCTCCTTTTCTGGATACAGTTTGGCTTGAGGACTTGAATTGTGGAGGGGAAGATGTGTGGGTACAATAGCAGAAATGAGACTAATTGGCATCAGCTGTAAGAATGGTTAAAGATGGGACTACTTTTGAACTTGAATTTGATAAATTTGAATGGCCCCAGCATTACAGGTCGTTGGTGCATTGAGAACTCAGCATAGTTCTGACATGCAACTTTTCAGGTTATGTCTGGGGGAGGGTACTGCAGCCAGGCCATTGAGAGAACAAAGGTACTCATCTCTTGACATGCTACTTCTTAGTTAACTCCAGTTGAATCAATCTTGCATGAGGATTTTTCCACGGGAGGGCAGGAGGTGGTGAAAATGAATGCAAAAACGTGCCTGATGGTTATCATGCATGTAAACTTTAAAAGGCTAAAATAGAACAATTGCAGCAAATCAGCAGATAAAGCTGAGAATGTGACTGAATCAAGGATACCTTGAAATTAAAATGCAAGTACAGATGGTTTGTTCAAAAGGGTTAGAAAACCTTTGATTGAAAACAGTTTTCCTGTAAGTAACTGAATCATGACAAAAAAAACTGCAGTCATTATTTGACAAATGAAAAGATTTTTAACAATGAATGTGATGAAAATTCAACCTGATATTTTTTGTAAAATCAAAGTTGCTTGTCTTAGTAAATTTTGAAAAGAAACTGAGGCAACTTACCAATCCCTTTAAAAAAGACCACAATCTTTCAAGTTATTCTTTATAATGACATCAGTAACTGCATCAAACACAAACTGCACATTTTTGGTGTCTGTGGCACATGTGAAATGAGTGTAGATTTCCTTAGTGTCTTTTCGTTTGTTTAGATCTTCAAATTGACATTGTATATATGCTGCAGCTTCTTCATATGTATTTGATCCTGTATGAAATAAAAGCTAAGTTTTAAATACAAATTAAAGACATAGCTCATTCTCTGACACAGAACTTCCAGTTTATTTCAAATGTACACCATCTTTTCTTTGAAATTGCAAAGTAGTTGGGACAATATTACTTTAAAATACAGCAATGGGAAGAGCCACAATGTAAGCATGCAACAGGTTGGATTACCAGCCTTTCATAAAATCTTATCCCTGTAATAAGATTTACAGAATAAAATGAACAGACACCACAATAGTTCACTGGAGAGTTCTGCAGTTTAACATGCAGCATGCCCACACACTGATAAGGCAATGCTTCCACAAGATGGTGACCATCCTGAGGGAGCCATGAGTTAGGATGGAGCAGCTAGACCTTCAGCCTCAATTCTCCACTATATGTGTTTCAAGGATGATATTAAAGATGTGGACTCCTCGTTAGATCAACATTTTGGAACAACACTGCTTCAGTAACCAAAATGGGCTACATTCACTTGGAAATTTTAATTTCTACAGTAAATAACAAGATTTAGAGCATTTTGCAAAGGCTCCAATTTTTCAGTTCAGTAATCCTTAATTGCCATGTTCTTTTGGCATTACAAACAGCTTACTATACGAATGACAGAGTTGGAATTTCAGGAAAAATTAGCTTCAACTGCAGGCAAGATGGTGTGGACATCTCTTTTAAACTATATTGATGAAACGAGGGAACTTCCAGGTCAAACCTCTCATCTCATGCCAACTGTCTTGGTTTTCAACTAAACCACCCAAATTTCTAATCAACTCAGTTCCTTTATTGTATTAACTAAAAGCTTGAGTAAAGTATGTTAATTTCACATACATTCAACATGAAGTTGCTTTTTCCTCCCATGGTGCTTTCCCTACTTTGTCCTATTTTTAATTTTAATGCTACTTTCTGACTAACCTGTACAAGCTTTCATAGCTGAAAGTTAAAAGCCTTAACATGACCACTTGCCACCATATATTCACTGATCCATTTTGTAAGCGGAGAATATTAGGCATGGAGGAAAGACTTGGCATAGGCAATGAGCAAAGACTCGTGTCCGCAATCATTGCTGTCAAGTTACAAGGCCAGCGGTTTTCATAAGTCATCAGTAGAAAGGTGATTAAGCTCATCCAAGATTTTGATCTTAAAACCTACATTGTTGTCGTGCAAAAATTAAAACATTATCAGTTCTATATTTTTACCTGCATATTCAGGGTAGCAGATTGTAAGGGGGCTTCTTTTAATCTTTTCTTCAAAGAGATCCTTCTTATTCAAGAATAGAATGATAGATGTGTCTGTAAACCACTTGTTGTTACAGATGCTGTCAAACAGCTTCATGCTCTCATGCATCCTGTTCTGTTGAATTACACAATTATTCGATTAAGTACAATTAAATTCAAACAGTCCATTCAACTGGATTTATGAAAATAACCTAGACTACTTCACTACAACACTGAAGGAGCACTGCATTTTCACAGATGCTGTCTTCTGGATGAGATGTTCAACTAAACTTCTGCTGTACAAGTGCTTGTAAAAAATAATGTAGCACTTTTTGAACAGCACAATTTTCCCAATGATCTCATCAGCATTCCTTTCTCAACCATCACCAGCAAAATTAGGCCAACTGGCTACCCACCTCAATTGCTTTAGTGGGATTTTGTCCAATCTCATGTTGTACTTATCTAATAGCATGGACTACATGCGAAAAGGAAACTTTTAAAAGGATGCAATTTGTAAAATTGCAGAAAAAATGCTTCACAGCAAAGAAATTAGTTTGAATGAGTTAGTAATTGAAAATTAACTGATAATGGGAAAATTGCTAACATTTTAAATCTGTAACAGTGCTCAATAAGATGGAGTCAGCTGGAGTACTCCAACACTGTGTCCCAAGCTTATCAGCAAATGAGAAGTGGATCATTGAGTTTCCAATTTAACAAGGCTAAATAGATGTAGAAAAAGCTGGAAATAGCCAGCAGGTCTAAGAACAATTATGGAGAAAGAGAGACATAGTTACCAATTCAGGTCTGTGACCTGTTATTTGAATTTTCAAGCCTCAAACATTAATTCAATCCACCATGGCAGGTGCCAGAGCTGAGATATTTTAAGCATAGGGCCCTTATTTCTGAATAAGGTCAATCACATTCAGTTGAATGGAAGGCAGTTGGCAAAATACCCTGAAATATGCACTACAGGATCACTTGAAAGTCTTGATGCAGGAACTACCCAGAAATTGCCCAAACTGAAATTCAATTACCCCCAGTTCTGGCACCCTCCGAAAACGTGTACAAATCTGAAGTTAGAGTTGCAGGCAGAGAGTTCTTATTTACCTGGATATTACCCAGAAGAAGCTTAAGGAATTAAAACTTGCTGTAACTCCTGGATAACTATAAAACTGAGCCCTCTCCCCGCTGACCCACCCAGCACTGTATTCCCCAACCTGATATGACATGACAGCACCCCTGCCCCCTTCACTCACTAACCTCTCTTTGCAGCTTGTCAAACGGCCTTTGGGACACTTAAACCCTAAAATTGGCAGTTACTGCTAACCATTGATGGGTGTGGTTTGGTCTCTAATGCTGACCCCGTACTATGCCAGAAGGCTTCTAGATCAGATACATTCTGATGTTTCTCACGAGACCCGAATCAGAAGCTCAGGTAAGAAATATGGAATTTCTGGCGGGGCAAATAAAAAAAGATTTGAGTGGCAATTGACTATAATTGCCACTCTATGGAATATTTGGACCCATGTGATACAGGAACTTTAGGTTCTTACCAGATAAGATCTACTGATATAGAATTAATGGCTTTCCTTCACGGTTAGTTACTGAAATATGCAGCTTACAAAACAGATAATTATGACTTTTCACAGGGACGAGACAGAAAAAGGTGAAGACAGGCAAAGCACCATGAAAGTAAGAAATAAAAGAATATATAAATCTGTCATATAATCATTTATATGTCATCACATTAGGATATCCAAAAACACCAAAATAAAACAAAGACTGCAGATGCTGGGAATATGAAACAAAAACGAAAAGTGCTGGGGAAACTCAGCTGGTATGGCAACATCTGTTGAGAGAAAACTGAGTGAAGACTTAAAGAGATCAGTGACCCTTTGTCAGAACTTTAGCTCTGATTCTTCAGATACTGCCAGACCTGCTGAGTTCTCCAGTACTGTTTTTGGTCTCCAAAAACACTGACTGCTTTTCAGGCCTATGTTCCAATGTCCTGTGCCTCCCTTTCATTCACTTGAGCAGGCAGACAGCATGTTGGTTTAACATCCCATCAAAACAGATGGCACACGATAATGTACTGCTCCCCATGTGCAACATTTAAGTGATAGGCTACAACATAATACTAGAAAAATAAAACATTACTGCACTACAAGTTGATCTTACAACCTTCTGACAATGATTAAGCACAGTACTATTGGAACCAACTGACACTAGGAGGAAGGAAAGAAAGAAAATCAAGAGGTAAAAATCTTTGGAAAGCAACTACTTTAAAAAAGGAAAATGAAAGATAAAGCTCCATAAAAAACTACCTTTGCAAATAAAAATAAACTTAGTTAAAGCCAGCTAGCTTCCCTTGTGAACAGACTAAGGTAGTCATGCAAGTCACATTGCCACAGCAAGTTTTATCATTGACATAGCCAAGACAAATATTCATCCATGACATGAATGAATGTCTGTCCACAAAATATTACAACCTAATATGGTTGAATACAAAACCAGCTGCATAATTTAAAGATCAGCACACATCTTCTTTGGCTTCTCATAAATTTATCATGCACTCAAAATCATTCAACAGATTGCAAAGTTTCTGTACAGTAATGCAACTACTGACAATGTAACGAGTTGAGAATTTTCTCTTTAAAACTAATTTTAGATCCTGAATATACCACTTCAAAAGGCAAACTATACTAAAACAGAAAAGTTACAAAACAAAAGGAAAGTGTTAACAGACATCCGATTGCTCCCTAGTTATCTGGCCCTTACAAATGACGCAGTATTCTTGTTTTATGCCCTCTTTTAATGCTGTTTTGAGCTGAATGCTAGAGGTGCATAGCAGCATCTAAGCTGGCCTGCAATCTTTCCCCCACTCATCTTCTCCTGCTACCTCAGTACCAGAGAAGAACCCTCTATTATGGGGATGGAGGAGTTATCTGAGGATGTGATTCGTTAATGGTTCTATCCAGCTTCAGGGAAAAATCAATTGCCTTTAACAATGAACAAGGCACAGAAAGTCACTTGTGAATTAATGAATATTTGAGCAGTTATGGAAAGAAAAACATTTGGATGTACACTACATCGTTTTTATGATTGTCTTAAATATTTATCCCCAACAGTGTTAGAAATGCAAGTCCTTTTAAAGGTAAACCAGAACAACTTCAAAAGAGTTAATTGAGAGCAGGTGATGCTTACTCAATTTTGTAATCTTGTGGTGCAGTGGCTCAGCCAGAGGCCTGGCTTCAATTCCGAACTGTTCCAAACATGTGTAATAACATTGCAAAACAGGTTGATTAGAAAATATAATTCAAAAGCTGTTTTTTGTTTCCTGTACAGTGAGGAAAATCAGGTTCTGGATAGGTAGAGGATTCAAAAGAAAAGGGTTAAAAACTGATACTTATGCTGAACAATAGTTTAGCAATAAAACAATACACACATCTGTCTATTAACAATCCTAAAGAATACGATCAATCCACTTACCATTTCCTCATCCTCTGCAAGGACAAGATCGTAATCACTAAGTGCCACGCAAAATATAATGGCAGTCACTCCTTCAAAGCAATGGATCCATTTTTTGCGCTCAGACCTCTGACCACCGACATCAAACATTCTAAGAGAAAATTGTAATAATGAGTTTTTCCATTTATGAGAGCTTTATGCCACTTACTTGCCACTGTCTTTCAAAATACAAAAGTACGTATATTTGGAAAGCCTTCTTGTGTTTTTACAAGTAAATTAAACACACTAGCAGTACTTTCACCTAACAAATGGAATTGCATCACTTGAAAGCAATACAAACAAGTCCAATATCAACCCATGTTAAGAACGGTTTTAAGAGACTATTTAGGGAAGGCTTTGTTCACAATTTTGAACTTCTGTAGACTAAGGCAGTGCCTAGACTTAGGGTTATCAAAGTAATACATAAAATGAAACCCAAAGACAGCTGATTAACAGCACATCACAAGAGAAGTTAATTTAAGCAGAATGAATTCTGTTCTTCTGTTTCAAATGTACTTTCATATTTTCTGCACTTTAAAAGTATTCTAATGCTTCAGGGTGGGTAGGACATTTTATTACTGCATTTCAAATCAGTCAAAATGACTGATAGAAAATGCAACATTTCAAATAATTCTTGCCTTTCATGTCTTGCAGCGATTTGAACATTAAAAGCACCATCTTCCTAATCCCAGGATATAATTCATTACTCAAATCCCATTCCCAATCTCTCCATGCTTTTCTTTTACTATATTACATAACTGCATTCTACAGAATCTTCATCCTATTTAAATGAAGTCCTCTATTGACAATTTTATTCCACAAGTTAAAAAAGACATTTTCTACTCTACCTCTCATTATCAAACATTATTCTCAAAGTGTTGACTGAATTTTGACTCATTTGTCTAACCCCATAAGTGGCTCTTGAAACATGGAATATTGCAAATAAAAAGCATAAATTTCATAAAATATACTGCTCCTTGAATTAGAACTGTACAAGAAAACACATTAAAGACTTACACAAATTACTCTCAATTCAGTAATTTAAATTAATCTTCTTGTAAGTACATATTTTAAAAAATATTGTTATTTGAATTATTTATCTACTTTCTGCTTACTCAATTTGAAATTTCAGAATATCACTCAATTCAATAGTGAGAGTAGATAAATGAAACAGAATTGAAACAATTTAAAACATTTTTGTACTTACTTAAAATGCAGGTCCTTAAAAGTGAAATGGGTCTCCACGATACCTGTTGTTTTAACTCTGGTCCTTAGAACATCTTGTTGAGTTGGAATGTAACTTGCTTGTGCTACTCTGTCCAAGTCATTCAAATAACTAAACAAAAATGAGAAGTAAATGACATGCCAAATACCACAATGATTTCATTAAATCAATTGCCATCAATTCAAACTTCCAGTCCTTTGAAATAGCTTTGTGTTTGGTTGAAATAGAAAACTCTTATGCTCCAAAAAAGTTTCTCTGCTCACCTCCCAATAGTCTGACTGCTTATGAGTGCTCTTCCAATTTACTCTCTGATTTGATGTTCAGGTATGCATGATTTATATGTCCACTTTGACAGTGAATGCTGGTGTATTATTAATCATGCAGAAGAGTTTTTATAGAATAGAAACTTTACAGTGTGGAAACAAGCCATTCAGCCCAACAAGACCACACCAACCCTCCGAAGAGCATCCTACCCAGACCCATCCCCCCTATCCTATCCCTGTAACCCTGCATTTACCATGGCTAACGCACCTAACCTATACATCCCTGAATACACATCCAAACCACCTAACTTGCACATTCTTGGACTGACGGGGGAAACCGGAGCACCCAGCAGAAACCCATGCAGACACGGGGAGAAAATGCAAACTCCACACAGACAATTGCCAGAGGCTGGAATTGAACCCGGATCTCTGGCGCTGTGAAGCAGTGGTGCTAACTAATGAGCCACTGTGCTGCCCCTGATCAGGTCATTATTCAGGAAAACTATCAAAGTGCTTTCTGGATTTCACATCGGAGTAATAAATTAGTCAGATTTCCCATTATCAGGAGGCTGTGGCTATTTTTCAAAACGTCTTCCACTCTCTTATTAGATTTTCCAATGGCAACTCTCACCTTTCTATTTTATATTTAAATACTTGGTTGGCAGCTCCCAAAGAAAATGCCATAGCCAATGAAAACTCAAATGTAAATTTGCTGGGTTTATGATGAAAATCGCCTATTATAAGCAAATGTGAGACACTTGTATTGGGGTTACATAAAATAGAAAATAAATGTATTTCTAAAAGACAATATTTCTGTCAGGAGTTCTGGCGTAAATATGGATATCGAGAAACAACCTGTATTTATATTGTGTCATTAACATAGTAAAACATTCCATTTCACAGAGGCACAAACGAGAATGTATGTCAAACCAAAAGGAGAAGCTACTAATGTGGGATGACCAAAAGTTCAATCAAGGCTCCATGGAAAACTAAGGCCAAATAATTACACAAAGTGAAGCTAGTACAAGAACTGACTACCTACAAAAAAAGAGAGATAAAGCATCTATGGCTTTCAGTTGTTATCAGAGGTTAGAATTCATTTTTGCCATTAAAAATGCTTCAGACATCTGTGGCAATGTCCATTATTATATTCTCTGTAATGTTAAGCACTGCAGCATACAATACTTACTATGCAGAAGAATCATTAAGTTGATACTCTCTGGACCGATTAAAACAGGCCTGAACGCCACTATCCTTCCACAGTCTCTTGATTACTCCGGCAAGCTCCACAGTCATAAACCCTTCTTCTGCTGCACCAGCCAATACAAACAACTGGCGAGCATCATCCTGAAGAAAATATTGGTATTGCATGTATTAAATCAGAATTCAAACATTTGGCAGATAGTGTAATGAGCATCCAAAGAGATTGCATAAATACATTAAGGGCAAAAGCGTAACTAGGGAGGGAATAGAGCCCCTTAAAGATCAACATGGCCATGGCCATCTGTCTGTGGAACTACAGGAGATGGGTGGCATACTAAATGAATACTTTGCATCAGTATTTACAGTGGAAAAAGACATGGAAGCTCAGGAACTTGGGAAATAAACAGGGATGTCTTGAAAAGAGATCATATTACATAAGAGGTGGTACCGGAGATCTGAAAACACAAAGGTAGATTAATCCCCAAGACTTGGGTGTTTCCCAGAACTTTGTGAGAAGCTAGGGAAGAGATTGCAAGACCCCAAACTGAGATATTTGTATTACTGAAAGCCACGAGTGAGGTGCTGGAAGACTATAGGTTGGCTAATGTGGATACCATTATTTAAGAAAGGCTGTAGGGAAAGGCCAGGGAACTATAGACTGGTGAGCCTTACATCAGTGGTGAGTAAATTGTTGGAGGAGATTCTGAGGGACAGGATTTACATGCATCTGGAAAGGTAAGAACTGATTAGGGATAGTCAACATAGCTTTGCGGGAGAGAAATCATATCTTACTAACTTAACTGAGTTTTTTGAAGAGGTGACAAAGATGATTGATGAAGGCAAAGCTGTACGCGTTGTCTATATGGACTTCAGCAAAGCATTCAACAAGGTTCCACATGGTAAACTGGTTGGTAAGGTTAGATCACATGAGATCCAGAGACAGGTAGCCAACTGGATACAAAATTAGCTTGAGGGTTGGAGACTGAGGATGGTGGCAGAGAGTTGCTTTTCAGACTGGAGGCCTGTGACCAGCAGTGTATTGCAAGGATTGGTGCTGGGTTCACTGCTTTTTGTCATTTATATAACCGCTTTGGATGAGAATATAGAAGGTATGGTTAGTAAGTTTGCAGGTGACAACAAAAGAGGTGGTGTAGTGGACAGTGACAAAGATTACCTCAGAGTACAATGGGACCTTGATCAGATAGGCCAATGGGCCTAGGGATGGCAGATGGTGCTTAATTTAGATAAATGTGAGGTGTTGTACTTTGGCAAAGCATATCAGGGCAGGATTTATACAATTAATGGTAGTGCCCTAGGGAGTGCTGCTGAACAAAGAGACCTCGGGGTGCAGGGTGAAAGTGGAGTCACTGGTAGACAGGGTGATGAAGAAGGCATTTGTTACACTTGCCTTCATTGGTCAGACATTGAGTATAGCAGTTGGGGTGTCATGTTGCAGTTGTACAGGACATTGTGAGGCCACTTTTAGAATACTGCGTACAATTCTGGTCGCCCTACTGTAGGAAGGATGTTGTTAAAAACTTAGAGGGTGCAGAAAAGATTTACAAGGATGTTGCTGGGACTGGAAGGTTTGAGCTTTTGGTAGAGGCTGAATAGACTGGGGCTTTTTTCTTAGAGCATTGGAGACGGAGGGATGACCTTACAGAGGTTTATAAAATCATGAGGCATGGATAGGGCGAATAGCCAAAGGGTGGTAGAGTCCAAAACTAGAGGGCATAGGTTTAACATGAATGGGGAAAGGTTTAATGAAGACCTGAGGGGTAACTTTTTCATGCAGAGGGTGGTGTGCGTATGGAACGAGCTGTCAGAGGAAGTGGTGGAGAACGTTACAATTACAACATTTAAAAGGCATCTGGACGGATATATGAATAGGAAAGGTTTAGAGGGATGTGTGTCAAATGCTGGCAAATGGAACTAGGTCAGATTAGGATGTCTGGTCGGTGCAGACGGGTTGAACCAAAGAGTCTTGTTTTGGTGCTGTACTCTTAGGATTCTTTGCTCCTTAATGAGTTAACTAGATCCTCTCTTTTCCAAAACTCCCAGTTAATTATTTCTTTCCCCTCCTTCCCTCCTCAACCTGAGCAGTTCACAGGATAAATTACTTTTGTTGCCAGCCATTACCCTTTATAAAAAAAACGAACATTTTCCACAGTTGCCATAATAAACTGAAATTAAAGATCAAAGGGTTCTTTCGAAATTGAGCCAATGTGATATTGAGTTTCAAACAATTTCATCTGGTAAACCACAGGGAACTATTCTAAATGCAACTTGCAGAAATTGCTATGTAAATCCAGAGAGGCAATTACCGGATCTTTAGTTCACCCAGGACATGTCAATATTGTTTGATAGGCTAGGTCATGCTATGTATTACACAGTAACATGTCAACAGTTTGTGAACAAATGATGATAAAGCAAAGCAATTTTTTTCTCAACACGCATTTAAATTTAGTTGTACCAAAACGTACCTTAGCCATAAACAGCAGGCAAGTTTTATGAAGAATTAGTTGCACCCCAATTCTGACATTAACTTAATGGAGTCTTTCACAACAGTTTAAAGTTAAAGTTAAAGAGGATAGCAGGAAGAAAAATTAAGGATGTGTAAATAAAGCTAACAATTATCTTTAGTAATTCAAGAAAGGTTGGAGGATAAGCTCAGTTACATTAAATAATGTGCTTATATATTACTGCAGCTGGTGCCTGATAAATGCTTTGTGCAGCCACTGAAAACACCAAGTAAGCTTAAATTCATTAAGGTTGGTGGCTGAAAGACAGCCATTAAGAGAAGGTATTCCTGGCTGCCTTCCTTAAAAGAAATGGCAAGTTTATTCAATGGCAGCTGCTCCAGACTAGACGTCAGAAGCTGGTGACATTCCAATCAACGTATTTTCAAACCGATATATGAAGTTCACTATTTCATCCAACATACCAGTGCATCGCAAGAATACTGCATCATGTGAAAGAGCAAACAAATAAGGTCAGTTTGAAAGGGATGCAAGTTTTTAGGCATGTATTCTGATGTAGAAGCAGGGACGAATAGTAAGAATTAGCAACAGGGGATTAAAAAAAGAGTAGCAATTAGACTCTATCAAATGCATTAATTGAAAAACTTCAAGAGGAAAGACAGGACATGTGAAATTTATCGAAGACAAACTAGGTAATGTATAATAATAAATGTACCAATGTACTAAATACAAGTAAAAGTGTATTAAATTTCTTCAACTTATCTCATATCACTGACGTACAGGATTGAGATTGTCCTCTCTCATCCAGTTGAGCTAACCTTATAAAATATCTGACCCAATAGAACAACCCAAAACAGAACAGACTCAACGTAGTCCAAAAAAGTCTGTTTAAAACCCTGGGTACAGTTTCAATGTCATGTCACCTGTAGAACTCAAGGCCTCCAGACATTCCTTCTTGCATTAATGTATGCCATGATCTTTTACGCTGGTTTAGGACTCAGTGTGACTAGAATGTGTCCTGCCAACAAGAGTAGCAATTCCCACACAAGTTGAGATCAAAAATGCCTGCTGACAAAGAGTTATCCAGTTGTGGTCCTTTTGAAATGTTTTCGATCAAAACAAATATTTAATTTACGAATAATTTTAACTAGTGTACACCAACTAGTAAATGGTTCAGCATTGAAGTGAACTTAAATCAAGTTACCCATAAGTAGTGGATTGGATGTTTATTAAGAATATTTATTTCTGGCAATAAAACCATTTCTAATTGTGCTAATAAAACTACACATTATCACAAGGAATACTGCTTTAAAACAGAAAGAAAAAAAAAAGTATTTTTTGTTATGCTACCTAATTACAGGGCCATGGAAGATTTTACATGCTATTATCCAAATAAGTTTGAATTAGACTTGAACCATTACCTAACCAGTGCAATTTCAAGTGCATTTAGGGCGCTTTCCTACAGATTGCATCCAAAATTGGCAACAAATACCCCTTATACTATAGTCGACAAAATTATCTGCAACAATTTATAAATTAATTACAATTAATGTAACTGTTCAACTCACATCCAAGCATTCTGTGCCAGTAATGCAATATGCTAACTTGCATTATGATTCAAGCAATCCCATTGTGCAGCTAATTAAGATCTTATGTTTAGATATTGTCATAGCAATAAGAGGTATAAAGTGTCTCTGTTTCCTCTGGGGGATTGAAGCGCTTAGCTAAGCTGGCACCTTTAGTAATGCAGCTAACTGTTCCAGTTAGGGAAGAGAAATAATCAGGTCATAGAACAAGAAAAGAGCGAACAGAGGGGCAACGGGACTCAAAGACAAAAACAGAAACAGCTGGCAACACTCAGCAGGTCTGGCAGCATCTGTAAAGAGAAAGCAGAGTTAATGTTTTGGGACTTCACAAGTGGAGAAGGGTCCCTGGACCCAAAACATTAACTCTGCTTTCTCTTTACAGATGCTGACAGACCTACAAAGTTTTTCCAGCAATTTCTGTTTATGTTTCCAATTTCCAGCATCTGCAGTTCTTTGTTTTCTTTGTTAAAAGGACTCAAAATGTTGTCAATTTTGAAGACTGTTAACAAGCAATTTTAGTTTATGCCGTCCATTATTAGTTCATCACAACCCCGTTTCAAGAAAAATTTGCATAATACGAAACGTAATTTTAGTTAAGTGAAAGCTCAAGGTCAAGATATTGTTACCATACACACAAAATTTTGAGTCATCAATAAATCAAATGTTCTCAATGGGTAAGGTATCATAGCTGATCCATCACCTGAAATGACTGACATTAATTCTTGTTTTAAAAAAAGATGATGAATTTAGTGCTAAATTGAACTACTCAACTGATGCGCATTTTGAAAACACCGCTCATTAAAACAAGTTCAAACATAAAGCACATGTTGGAAGTTAACTGTTTTCTTGTAATACAGACTTAGTAAGACAAGTAAATGCATATATGGTAAATTAGTATCAGTAACAGATCAAATTTTGAATGTCAAGTTAATGCAGCAGCTCTGAAATACAGGTTAAAGCAACAGTTTCTGCGACTTCAATGGAGTAACAATACAAATATAGTGATTTGAAAAACAAGTACAATATTTTATAGGTTAGAAGTCTCTGCAAGACAGTAATACTGATCTGTTGAGCCAGATTTTTCAAGAGTGACAATCACATGCAGATTACCACTCTGGTTTTGTTTCTTTTCCAGCAAACAGAAAAGGGAGCTCTGCATTTCTGAGAGGAGATTCCAATCCCAATCGGATTCTTTCAGAAATGCACAGTGGTAGCACCATTCTGACAGTGTTTTTATAATAAAGAATTAAAAGGGGAAAGCAAACCACACCCTCTTTTCACACCAATCTGCTGCTGTATTCTGAAATGTAAACTTTGAAGGTGCTGTCAAACAGCAAAGACATAAAGCAAGTACGATGTTTGGGTGCTGGAATTGTAGGGTACCGAAAATGTGGAGTGCCAGATGGGTGGGATTTAAGGTGTCAGATGAATAGAGAGTAGGGTGCCAGTTGGTAGGATGCTGGGTTAGGATGCCAAATGAGTAAGGAAGGGTGCCAGGTAAGTATTGTTCCAGGTTGCAAGGTGGCAAGGCAAGTGATGCAATGTTTAAGGTAGTTTGGGGTGGAACAGGCTAACTGTCGAGTCTGAGGTGTTTGGATGCAACAAAGGTTTTGGTGGGGCAGTGGAGTGGGAAGAAAAATCAGGATGGATCTGATCTCAGAGGGTCGGGTCAGGTCAGGTCTGGGTGCCAGGGTCTGAGAGTGATCTGCATGAGGTGTAGTTGGTTACGTCAGTGCACAAGGCCAGTATGTGGCCAACTGAGTAGTGACTCAGGAGTTAAGCAATGTATGTAATTATAATCTAACATTTTCTAAGCAATTATTTTGTTTTCTTTCATCTGAACCCTCCGACATCTCCAATTCAAACAGAGACTTTCGAAGGGTTACAGGTGTGGAAGCAACTCTTGGAGGAAGCATAGAGGGTAGCAAGGGCTCAAAATGAATGCTGGGTGGGGATTTCAATATCGACGACCAATAGTGGCTCGGCAGCAGCACTACTGATCAAGCTAGTCAGGTCCTGAAGGACATAGCTGCTAGACTGGGTCTGCTGCAAGTGATGAGGCAATCAAGAAGGAGAAACATATTTGACCCTATCCTTACCAATCTACTGGCTGCAGGTGCATCTATCCATAACGGTATCAGTAAGAGAGACCACTGCACAGTCGCTGGGGAGACAAAGTCCCACCTTCACATTGAGAATACCCTCCAAAATGTTCTGTGGCACTATCATCATGGTAAATGGGGCAGATTTTGAACCTAACTAGCAACTCTATGTGCATCCATAAACAATGTGAGTCACCAACAGCTGCAAAATTGTACTCCGGTACAATCTGCAATCTCATGGTCCAGCATATTCCCCACTCAACTATTAACATCAAGCCAGGGATTCAACCATGGTTGAATGGAGAGTGCAGAAGGGCATGCCAGGAGCAGTACCAGGGATACCCAAGAATGAGGTGTCAACCTGGTGAAGCTACCAAAAGGACTACTTACATGCCAAACAGCATAAGCAGTAAGTGATAGACAGAGTTAGGCAACCCCATAACCAATGGGTCAGATCCAAGCTCTACAGTTCTGCCACATCCAGTGGTAAATGGTAGTGGGCAATTAAACAATTCACTGGAGGAAGCAGATCCACAAATATCCCCATCCTCAAGGATGGAGGAGTTCAACACTTCAGTACAAAAGATAAGGCTGAAGCATTTGCAGCAATCTTCAGCAAGAAGTGCCAAATGGATGATCCGTCTCAGACTCCTCCAGTGGTGCCCCCTATCACAGGTACCATGATCAGTCAATTACATTTACTCCATGTGATATCAAAAACACAAAGGCTATTGGCAATAACAACATTGTGGCAATAGTACTGTAGTCTTGTGCTCCAGAACTTGCTGCTCCCAGGGCCAAGCTCTTCCGGTAGAGTTACAATACTGGCATCTATCCGACAATGTGGAAAATTGCCCAGGTATATCCTGTACACAAAAGGTGGACAAGCCCCACGGAGTCAATTACCACCCCATCAGTCTAATCTCAATCATCAGTAAGGTAACAGGAGGTGTCATTAACAGTGCTGTCAAGCACACACCTGCTCGCCAATAACCTATTTAGTGATGCCCAGTTTGGGTTCTGCCAGGACCACTCAGCTCCTGACCTCATTACGATCGGTTTGAACATGGATGAAAACAGCTGAATTTCAGAGGTGAGGTGAGAGTGGCAGCCCTTGACATCATTCGACTGTGGCATCAAAGGGCCCTAGCAAAACTGGAATCAATGAGTATCGGGGGCAAACTCTCTGCTGGTTGGAGTCATAACTGACACATAGGAAGATGGTTGTGGTTGTAGGATGTTGGTCTTCTCAACTCCAGGATATCTCTGCAGGAGTTCCTCAGGGTAGTGTCTTAGGCTCAACCATCTTCAGTTGCTTCATCAATGGCCTTTCCTCCATCATTAGGTATGTTTGCCAATGATTGCACAACATTTGCACTATTCATGACTCCTCAGATACTGAAGTAGTCTGTGTTCAATTGCAACAAGATCTGCACACTATCCAGGCTTGGGCTGACAAGTGGCAAGTAACATTTGCACCACACAAATGATAGGCAATGACCATTTTCAGTAACAGACAGTCTAACCATCGCCCTGTGACAGTCAATGCTGTTACCATAAATGAATCTCCCACTACCAACATCTTGAGGGTTACCGTTGACCAGAAATTCAACTGGACTTGCCACATAAACACAGTGTCTCTAAAAGCAGGTCAGAGATTATGAATACTGCAGCAAGTACCTCACCTCCTGACTCCCCAGATGCTGTCCAACATCTACAAGGCACAAGTCAAGACTGCGAATGGATACTTGCCCACTTGCCAAGGTGTGTGAAGCTTGATGTTTGATGTTTGATAAGATCCTGGACAAAGCAGTTTGCTTCACGTAGAGATACCACCATTGCATCATAAGCATCCTCCTCAAAACTTCTCTGTGCAGATTATAATTCTAACTTCTCCATGCAAGTTAAGGTGCTTACTTCTGGTAACAGATTAGCAAACCTCCAATGGACTCTGTGACTCTAGAGTCACACAGCACAGAAACAGACCCTTTGGCCCAAGTCGTCCATGGCGACCATGTTTCCTAAACTGAACTTGTCCTATTTGCCTGCATTTGGCCTACAACCCTCTAAATCTTTCCTATCCTGCCCAAATGTCTTTTAAACCATGTAATTATACTCACCTCTATATTTCCTCTGGCAGCTCATTCCATACATGCACCACTCTCTGAGAAAAAGCTGCCCCTCAGGTCCCTTCTAAATCTTTCCCTCTCACCTTAAACTATGCTCTCTCCTACCTTGGGGAAAAGACCCTGGCTATTCTGCCTATTCACCTTATCTATGCCTCTTATGATGTATAAAGATCACCCCTCAGCCTCCTATGCTCCAGAAAAAGAAGACCCAATCTATCCAGCCTCTCCTTATAACTCAAAAGAAATCTAGTACCTAGATCTGTCCCAACATACCAGCCCTGACTGAACCAGATGAATTTATAAAGTTCTAGCATAATTACTTTGTTTTCATATTTTATTCCTCTATTAATAAAATAAAGATCCAAAGCTATTAATATCTTCTATTCAACCTTCAGAACAGTACTGTTTAAAGAAAAACAAAAAGCACTGTTTGCCTTTAATAATAAGTAGGAACAGTTTGCAGAGTTTACTTTAACTAAAGATGCCACTGTAGAGCCCAGATTTTGTTATATGTTAGTTATGTAACTTCCAAATAGGATTTCAACCTGTCACATTTTCACATTCATGCATATTAGCCAGTAATTACGTTTCACTCTTTGAAAAATATAAACAATGGACCAGACTTTCAAACTATTGTCAAGAACACAACACCCAGATGAATTCCCAATCCCAACTCTGCACTCCAACTGTGTTGCTCACATAGTGCCATTTTGAAATGCAAGTACAGTAAGTGGGAAGAAGACAAATTCAGTTCCCAAATAGCAGCACCAAATGACTCCAAGAGGAGGAGATACCATACAAGGACAAGTGATTGGCAACTCCAGTAGGGGCATCTCACTGCAATGTCGAAAAGACAAGGCGCACCAGTGGAAAGCCAGCAACACACATTCAGACATTGAAAATATGACCAAATCAGAGGTAATGTGCGTAATCTAGCACAAGATCCCCAAGGGCCTGACAATTTGCAATTCACTAATAAAACTTCCCATTCATCTCACTTTGAAGACAACAGCTATGCGCTAGTATGCACTGGACTGTTCAGGTTCAGCTAACTCACTTTTGGCAATTGTAGACCCAACCTCTCCTGCCCATTAGCAAGCTCCTTAAGGAACTTAATATACCATTGATTAGATGTGAGCAGGTTCATTGTTAGTTTCCTTCACCTCTGCCATCCCAATCTCACTTTGAAAATTACAATGCATCTCACATGTATCACAATACAGATGAGCGCTATAGGAACCCAATTTTAAATCTTACCTACACCCATTTCCAACCCCACTAGCAACTGAACATCCAGCCATGGTTTAGGCAGAATAACTGCTTGGACCAGTGCAAATAGATGTTCATTAATAACTTGCAGTATTTCAATTTCTCCAAAACAAATTAAAAAGTTTCACACAAATTGGTTTTATTTTTGGAAAAAAAAAACAGCAAGCACAAATCAAGCACAGAGAATGCTGGAGAAATGCAGTTTTGAAGAAGTCATACTGGACTCGAAAATTTAATGTTATTTCTGTCTTCCAAGATCTGCTGACTTTCTCCAGCATTGTGTTTGTTTCAGACTTCCAGCATACACAATATTTTTGCCTTTAAACAGAGAACATTTTAAATGCAAACTGAAATGATCAGTGAATGTGTATTTTTTTTCCTTTCTGCGGTAACATTGGGTTTAATAAGCTATTAATTTTGAACACTTCACAGTTTGGCCCAAAATTAATTTGCACATTTCCTTTTTCTGTACCAAACAGGAAGCATTATTCTATTCAAGATTAATATTGAGATAGATATCACAAAGCCAATTTCTTTTTGCTACTTACTGCTCTTGCAGGATCACCAAAGTCTATCTTCAATCTTCCCATTGCTCGAATAATCGCAATAATAGACTGAATGGTGTTGCTGTACACAACAGCTTTATATTGTTTGCATTCTTCTTCTGAATAACCAGCCTCATGTATAATCCTATTAACAAAAACATAATGTAAAATTTACAAAGGGAAAGAAAGTATCTGAACAGAAGAAAAATTGGACATCTTTTCACCTACTTGTCCAGCAGATAAACTGCATACTTACTTCATCTGTTTAACAATGGTACTTTTGCCAGACTCCCCTGCACCTGTAAAAGGCAGAAATACCTTCAGTTGTACATGAGCTTAATGTAATTAATTTGTTTTCTTCACCCCCCCGTTTGCACAAGTTTTGAATTGTAATAGAGTGCAAGTGAATAAACACAAGCCAAGTTGTGCAAGTTGGTCACATCATCTTGGAAAATTTATAAAAAGCAAATTCACATCCAGAAGGGAATGAACAAGTATCAAATTGGAAAAAGATTAAAATTTTAAAAAGTACTTTATGTAAAGGAATGTAGAACTTTTGCCACGTATGATTTACAAAGAGTTACATCGATATCAAATAAAAAGCAAATGGTAGAGAGTCGATGATTATTAAAAAAAATGAAGATTTGCATGTTTAATCTAAAATAAACATTATTGCTGACAGGCTTTTAGATAATTCAAGTGGACTTTTTGCAGTTAGCACTGTCACCCAAGTCAGGAGATTGAGTATTCAAGTTCCACTTTAAAATATTGCAGCACAAGGTCTTGACTAACACACAAGTGCAATACTGAAGGACTACTGCACTATCTTTAGCTGAGGTGTTCTCAAGAGGATCCCTCAACAACGATCAATTAAGATCAAGTCATATCTCTTGATGTTTGTGGGGTTGTGTGTGCACTTATTGGCTGTCATGTTTCATGTACTATCACAATGATAACATTTTAAAAAGTTCTTACTTAGCTGTTAAGTATTTGAGATACTGCAAGGTCATAAAGGTACCATATAAATGTAATACACTTTCTCTTAAGTTAGGGATAGGAGCAAGTACATGATCATTAGAGATTAGTTAAAGAACTCTGGTACCTTCCTGCACATTAATCCCCATGACAGAGACAAAAGCAGGGAGCATTCGCAATAAGCATATATTAAAAAAATTAATGTTCTCTACCACAATTATGTTTCAATAAAGAAAATATAATAAAAAAACTAAAACCTGTGCATAATATTGCAATGAGAAATGTTTTCAGCAACAAGCACACCAAGTTCACGAGGAAGCATTAGATGCAATGGCCCATTATTCGGATTGTCTCTGTAAAACTGAAAATTCAAATATTCAGGGTACTCTATTTCAATATTCTCTAACCTAATTTAAGAGAAACATAGAAACTGAAGCAGTCCATGACCAATTGTAGCAAGGCTTAGACAAAATCCAGGTAAGGGCTGACAAATTACCAGTAACATGCATATCACATGGTGACATGCAATGACAATCTCCAGCGAGAGAGAATTTAACCATTACTCATTGATGGTCAATGGTATCGCCACTGAATCCCCAACTATCAATATCATGAGGGTTACCAAAAACTGAACTGGACTCGTGATTTGGGAATTTGGCTACAAGAGCAGGCCAAAAGCTAGGAATTTTGCAGCAGCAATAAACTCACTTTCTGGCTCTACAAAACCTGTCCACTGTCTACAAGGCACAAGTCAGGTGTGTGATGGAATACATTCCAGTTGCCCAGACGAGTGCAGTGCCAACTACACTCAAGGAACTTTGACACCATCCAAGCCAAAGCAGTCTGACTGTTTGTGGATGTGGTGCCATTCCATACCTCCACCATCAAAACTCAGTAGCAGCACTGTGTACCACCTACAAAACAATTCACTTCAGAAATTCACTGTTCCTTAGATAGCACCTTCTAAATCTACGACCACTACATTCTAAAAGAGAAAAGGGCAGCAGATTCATAGGAACTCCATCACTTGCAAGATTCCCCACCCCCCCCCCCCAAAAACATTCACCATCCAGACTTAGAAGTATATTGCTGTTTCTTCACTCAAAATCCTGGAGCTCCCTCCTTAACAGTATTGAGAGTGTTTATGTACCACATGGACTGCAGCAGCTCAAAGTGGCAACTTACCACCATCTTCTCAAGGGCAACTAGGATGGAGCAATAAGTGCTGGCCCAACCAGCATTGTCTACATCCAGTGATAAATCAAAAACAAAAGGAGCAAAAATACAGCTCCTATCTGGGCAGTCACAAAAACAAGAACACTGAATTGCTTACTCTATCAAACACATCAACAGTCTTCCCCTGATTCCATATTTCCCATCCCATCGCTGATCTGAAGAGTTGTTTCTACATTCATCCCAGGTCTGTACTATATACTTAAGTCTGCTTATAAAAAGTTTAAAATTTAGAAATAAAACTTAAGCTTGCATTCGCTCAATTATCACCGAGATGAGTGTGCTAGTTTCTCATTGCAAAGTCTATCTTGGTACAATGCCACAAAGCACATCATCCCCTACACTTTCAGCATTCCAAAAAGGGATTGTTCCTTTCATATCTTGGTGAAGCATTCAAATCCTTTACCCTGGAGCTTTCCATTCAAATACAGTAAATGTAACACCTGCCTTTTTACTTCCTCCAAGGTCCAACACTACTTCCAGCTATAAACTTTCAATTTATTGTACTACATTCACTGCTCACATTGCTCAACATTAACACCAAACACAGACTGGACAACTGCACTGCAGAATACTTATGCTCAGTCTACAAGTATGACTCCAAGCTCCCAGAGACCTGTCATTTTAATTCTCCAACTTGCTCTCACACTGAGATCTCAGTCCTTGGCCTGCTTTGCTGTTCTAGTGAAGCTCAATATAGCTTGAGGAGCAGCACTTCATCATTCATTTGGGCACTTTACAACCTTCTGGACACAAGTTCAATTTCAAGCCCATTTTGTTTCAGTTTTTCTTTTTTTTTCTTTCAGAAAGCCACATACCTGATCATTACACATCTTTGTTTCCTTTCTTGCTCCATTATCATTCCCTTTGTCCCTGTAAGAAAAATTGTCACTCAATCTCTCCTATGTTGCACCCTATCAAATAGCTTCCATAATCATCACCTGTCATCTCTTGTTTAAAACCCATCACATTGCTACTTGTTCCCAGTTCTGACTAAAAAATGATATGGAGGTACCAGTGTTGGACTGGGTTGGACAAGGTCAAAGATGACACAACACAAGGTTATAGTCCAAAAGGTTTATTTGGAAACACTAGCTTTCTCAGGTGTAGTGAGACAGGAGGTATCAAGACACAGAATTTGTAAGTAAAAGATCAAAGGATCATTCAAATGATGCAAATGTATTCAATAACCCTAAAATAGCTGGCTGACTCCCACCTGTTAAATCTTTAATCAGTTAGAAAGGAGATGCAGGTTTCAATTGGTTAGAAAACAAATCCCAGAATTTCTTTCAAGTCACTGCCCCGAAATAACTAAAGGTTTTATTAGTGTATAAAATAGGTGACATCTCGGGTCAGACAATGCATTTTAGGTGTGAGGCCTTGTTTAGAATCTGTCTGTGTTTTAACCTGGAGCCAGACTGGTTTTATTTGCAAAGCAGGAATTTATAAAATGTCCCATTGACTGACTGTACCTACAAATTGTGTGCTTTTTGAACATGAAGAATGTTGACATTTCACAGGGTCCCTTGTCAAAGTTGAACTCATCGGAATATATGCGATTGATTCAGAGGAACTGGGAGCATGGAATGGAATCTTTACAGGAAACAGGGTGCAAGGATGTATAGTCCAGGTAGCTGTGAGAGTCTGTAGGCTTGTAGTGGATATTACTGGCCAGTCAATCCCCAGAAATGGAAACAGAGACACCAAGGAAGTGAAGAGAGGAGTCAGAAATAGACCAGGTGAAAGTGACGGTAGGGTGGGAAATCGATGAACTTTTCCACTTTGCTAACAATGGTCCCTATTAGCAGCTATTCATACTCCGAGGATGACCCTTACCCTATACTTTGTCTACCCAACTGTTTTTCTCCCTCTCTGCATCTCCATCTATCGTTTACTCCTTCCCCTCTCCCATCCTTCTCTAGTACGTATATCAATCTTTCCTTAGCGTATCAGTTCTGAACAAGGGTCACTAGACCGGAAGAATTAACTCTGTTTTCTCTCCACAGATGGTGCCAGACCTGCTAAGTTTTTCCAGCAATTTCTGATTGTGTTTCAGATTTTTATGTATTTCAGAAAACAATACACAAAATCTGGTCACAAAAGTCCACAAATAAAACCAGCCCTGCCTGCCAGAAAACAGATAAAATGCTTTGTCAGGGAGGCAGTCAAAACTACAATGCAAAAAAAATTTAAAAACAGAATTCAATTATTAAAGGCAAGAAGACCAGTGCAAAATCTGCAATATGCGTAAATCTCATTTTATGTTTGAGACCAGAAATTAGTTCCACGCAATGGCCCATGGAATTAATGTGGCTTTCTACCAGTCTCTTACAAAGGTATAATTTTGCAAGAAGAGTTATTTATAGAATTCACCAAGTCTTATTTTGATTCAAGTTTTTTTTTACACATGTGCTTCAATTATCCTGCATTTAATGAATAATATCCACTGAGTGTCCTGTTCTTTAATGAAACACCTTCTGAATTGTTACTACATAAATCTCTTATTTCTAAAGCAAACATTTTGCAACCACGATATCTCACTGTACAATTACAACGTTAGCACTTTTCTTAAAGCTTCAATTTCTTCCTTTAACATAACTTGGGCATATCAAACAGAATGTGGTGCACAAGCACAACTGCCTGAACGTGTTTATCTGTTTGTTAATTATTTCCTTGCAGCTACGATCAACAATGGGATCAAAAAGCTATTTCTCTTATGTAACCAAGCACAAATTTACTTCAAGTCGACCTGCTGGAACAGTATATCAGCACAATTTTACTTTTCTGCAAGTGACATTGAAAAAAAAAACAAAATCAGATGCCCAGCCATTACAAAAAAGACACATATTTAATATTACTCAAAGATAAAATTTGAAAGATTGTAGAAAAAGCAATTTACTTTAAGTTTTCAGTGTGCCTCACATGGTTTCTTTAAAAGACATCATTGAAAATTCAGTGTGGACATTATAGGTTTCTAAAAAAAACTTCACAGAAATCACATGACTGGTTACAATAGATTACTCTGCTGTACACCATGCCGGGGCTGTTTCAACACTGACCAGCTTGGAAGGGTTCTTGTTTTATCTGATTC